GAGTTTCACATATTGCAGAGAAGGTCCAAGCGCTGATCACAGAAGGCCCAAAGAAGAAATCGCAGAGAACCTTGCTCTAATATCATGTTAAGAAACTGTATATTTGTATATTTGGGCCTTAGGTCCCCATGGAACTCTCTCTTTATTGATTGATAAATAAAGAATATACAAGACCCGTATAAATATACGGCCAGTAACAATTTAATATAAATACTAACAGTTATTGATAACTATTCGCTAATCTTATCATAATCAAGAGACACCTAAGAGATATATACACATACATATACATATTTCATTACGTATTCATAATAATGTATATCAATAAAGAGAAACATACACTAATACACATGACTATTAAGAACATGAACTAGAGCTTGAAGCTAGTGAAGTTGCATGCACCAATAAAAGGTTTCATTCCGAAAAGACTAGAACACTTTATGACTCACTTTTTTTTTTTTGTCAATAATTTGACCTCATTTTCTATGAAAGTCCACAAAAGAAAAACTAAAGAAACAGCCCTTCTAGTTATGAGGTCGCTTTAACATGTGACTGATGCACAAAATAGGCATAGTTTCTTGAAAACATTATGAATGCTCATGTAGTTATGCATAGTATTGATTTGCTTTATTCTATTACATTCTTAATACAGATAGCATGATCATGGCTTCTACTACTTTCATTTTCTTCTTTGCATTGTTTGTGCTACCCCAAAAACTATGTTACGTGAAATTCACCAAATGCCGCATATTCCCTAATCCAAATAACTTGGGCACCGGCTATTGCATTGCAGCGCACTTAAAAAAAAGAGTTTTGGTGGCAAGACAGTGACAAGAAACGAAATGGGTTCAAAACTGCTCATTCAAACAGCAAACATTCTTTGTGCCAAGACTGCAAAGGCAAACAATTTGTGATTCAAAAGCAAAATTCACCAAAATATGGCTTTCAAAAACCATCACCTTCTCTCTTTGATCAATACATCACAATTGCATTTCTTCATCTCTCACCTGCATCTCTGTTCGTTTAATTCTTGAGGATTTCAGTCTTCTACACCCAACTCCTCCTTCCCCTTGCATATTCTCCATCACGAGCCTTCATCTCTCCTAATACCCAACTCTATCTTTCAAATGCAAACATGGTGATATAATGCATGTTGTTTTTTATTTTCTCTTTTTCTTTTGTTTGTGCTCGAGAGATAGAATTAATAGTAGACCTGAATTTTTCTAAAAGCTTAAAAAAGGGTAGTAGCCCAAGCCGCTTAGTAGTGATGATGGGTACTTTTAGTTGGTTATAGGGTTTGTAGTTTGAACCATTGGGTACACAAAAGTGACTGCCCAGTTCAACTTTTCCTCTTTGCAATGAAGGTAGAGAACACCTTGAGGAGTGTTTGGATCCATTGTGTGCTCTAATTGTGCAGTGTTCTTACAACTGATTTCTAAAACCAATTCTTTTGTCATGAAAGAATCATTAACTGACAAGCTTATGTCATTTTTGTTCATTTCAAGCTGATCACTTAGAAAATATGTTATTTTTTTTCAAATGCACTTAATATTTAACAATAAATTAGTTTGTATCAGTTCTTATATGATACCCTTCTCGGCCTTGGGGCTAAGATCAAGTGTTTTGGGTAGTTTGAAAATTGGACACTCGAACTGCCCAAGTACTTAGGGCGCATTTGGTTTGTGGAAGAGAGGGTTGGAAGCCGCCACTTCTATGGGTCACCATCGAATCGGTAGCCTCCAAAAAAACAATGCCAATTTTTTTATAAAAACAAACTATTCATTAGAAGGATCACACATAGTTTATCGACTAAACAAATTTGTCCTGAGTTACTGAGTGTACTAACAGGAAATATCTTATCTCATGGCATGGTGATGGAAACCTGAAAAAGGGCCCAGAAATGCCTTTTGTTCATTCAACTTTCAATATGCAAGGATATGGAATACATCCTCAGTGGAGCATCTCAAATGAATCTTGTGAACACAAATATAAAGACCACAAATTAAAAAATCTGTTCATGGAGAATCTAAGATGATTTGACGAATACGAATAGAGAGAAACAAAGAGAACTAGAAAATATCTTAAAATCAACTTTATGGCATGTACATTAGTGGATCATCAAGAATCGGATAGATGCAATCTATGAGTGCAAGCATTATTAGGTAAACAAACAGGCATAGTAAACAGTTCTGATACAACCAAAAACAATTTATGAAGTGTTCGTGATATTTGAGATATATCCATAAAAGAGAAAACGATATTAGTGAGAAAAGACAATCCCAATAGAGAATACAACCATGAAGATCCCAAAAATGGGAGCATTGGAATCTCAGATATTGATGAAAAGAAAGGTACAGCATGGGCCCTATCAATGGATTTTAGTAATTTTTATTTTTATCAACGGATTTTAGTAATTTTTACTTTTATTTATGCTTATTTATGCTAAGAGCATTGTTAAAAAGCAAACCCATAGAGTCCCATTATCATTAAGACAAGGAAGAAATTCACTATGAACTCTTGGTCACTATTTGAGATGTGGGAAAACTTTGGGCTAGATGACCAAAATGGCTCGTTATCGATCATTTCCTAATAAATTTTTACACTTAAAATTAATACCTCACTAGATGTATGCAACTTCCATACTGCTCGATAGTTTCACAATAAAGGATATACAGTACTTCCATGTTCCTTATGTCTCTTTTCTTTGTTTGACCCGTTAAAAACTCAGATCTCAACTCATCCAGGACATGTAATAGAAGTCAGTTTAACTCTATTTTTTGTTGTTATTTTTTTTTTTTGCTTTTGAATTAGTTCTCTTTTAGCCTTTCAATTCGGCCCTTATTTGGTCTATTCTGGGTTTCGAGTCTAATACTCCTTATAGAGTGCGGTTTTCATAGAGCCAAGTCTCTAAAAAATCAAAGTAAAGCGCACCTTCAAATAGTATCGAGAAATGTGGTTTCAATAGTGGAAATCTTTGTGATAGCCTCAAAATATATTTTCATCTTTAATTATAAAAAAATTTAAAGCTTAAAAATAGTGCAGATCGAGCATGTATGTGAAAACTTGAAAATCTATCTTGAAAATTGACGGTCCAAAAATGCGTTACAAGATTCACTATTTCCAAAACTTGAAATCCATTTTTTTCTCATGTCCATGCATCTTGATGTCGAGATGATCAATTTCAAGATATTTGGGCATCAAAACAACCTCTTCTAGTGAACTTTTCGAGGTGGGATCTAATTTGATTGTTTAGAGCCTCAGCTCTATATAAATGTTTTCCTTCTTGATATGATATCAGCTAAATGACCTATTGTGCTAGAAGTGGGTCTAACTCTCTTTTATTCATGTCCATTCACTTTCGTTCTTAACAAGGTCAGTTTTGCCTTTGCAATATACAACAAAGATAGCATCGTTCCTGTTTCAACTTCCCCACCTTAGAAAACAACTCCCGCTCAATAACCTCTATAATTTCTCTCCTATTTTATTGTTGCTAATGCTGGTTAGTTGTATGCGCTAGTGTGCAAGTGCTAACCAAAATTATAAATTATGTATATAACCTTCGTAGTCAGATTTCTTTGTTTCAAAATCCAAGTGGGCCTGGTTAGATGAGTTTAAATCACCAATCCACGCCAGATCAACTGTTTCGCAACTGTAGAAATCAATTTAGAGAATATGTTTACTCTTAAATAAAAAATGAAAAAGTAAGAGTCAAACAACGCGATTGAGTCAATCAGGATCACCTGGTTCCCTAATGGAGTCACCCTATTATCTGACAAGACAAGATTGTCAATATTGTACAACCAGTTTTAACTAGGAACTGTATAGGTTTCTACTAATGCACAAGAGCGGCATTCTTTAAATCGTGGATTCCCATGCATGTTGTGACACACCTCAATCTGCCAGATTTTACATTCAATAACTAAGAGTGATTATGACCTTCTTTTACCAAAAATTGATAATCTTACATTACATAATATGTTGTTCCTTATTTTAATATCCAAATTCAAATACACAGGCACGCATAAAATTTGACAGTTTTACCTCTTTATTTTGTTACTTCTCGAGAGTTTAATATGCCGATTGTGGGAACAAATGAATTGGACGAGTTAGTCCGGATCTTTATAGTTTGATGCATTCTCTCTGTTCTATAAATCTAAAGTCTTTGTTAACAAAAGACTTGGATTTTGTTATGGTCTCATCCTATGAGTTTGTTCACACAACAAAAATTCAATTGCTTTAGGTTCTAAAGTAAATTCAGGAAATGTGCAAATAAATGGTGGAATGCAGAATAAGAGACAATATTGGAGCTGGTTTTCTTTTTGTTCTTTTTAGAGAAGAATGGTGGACTTGAACAACTGATAGATTTAGCATACATATTTAAAGAGTGTAAATAAATAGGAAAAATATAGAAAAAGACCATTGGCCTTTTGTATAAGGAGGTCGCAATTATTTTTGTCTCTTAAATTTGAAAATGAATGGTTGTAAGAGTGTTATTGAATAAAGGCAAAGTTCCAAAAAAAAATTCTTGAACTTCGTAGCACACCTCAATCCAATTCGACATCTAATGAGTGGGAATAGTTATGACCTCCTTGTAATAAAGATAAATGGTCTCTTTGTAGACAATCTCTAATAAATATCGACTTGGTCATTTTCGGAGAATTCTTACCCGTACTTATCTTGCACTTAACATTTAATATATGAGTAATATATAATAAGAGTTTTTACCTTCGATACAAAGAGGTTACAATTGATATTATCCATTGGATACGAAATAGGGAAGCTAGATGTCTCATTTAATTTTTCAATTTGTAACACACTCAAGTTGTCAAATTTCACATCCGACAGTTATCAGTAAATGTAACCTCCTTGCATGAGATGTAAATGACCCTATAGTATATAATCCCTAATACATAAGAGAACATAATAGAGCATAGTGAGGCAGTATTGTGCACAGTACACCATATATTAAATGAAAGATGGTTTAAGCAAAAGAGCATATCTAACTAGTCAAATATGATAAACATTGAGCTGCTAATCTTCATCAAAGATTTTCACCCTATACATTTTATATAATATACATCACACTCACAAAATATATCCTCTATCTCATAGCTTGTTACATGCACTTCATACTAAGTCACTGGCTTGTTTTTGTGGCACTTCGGGATGCTAGTGGGCTCAAAAGAACCGAGCCTTGATGTACCAAGTGCGCCAGATGGGGCTTCCTGGTACCACAGCATTATATGCAACAGCATGTTGTCCATGCGATCAATGGCTGAAACTAGTAGCTCTTTTACCTCTAGATGATCACAGCAACTAACCATCCCCTTTGAAGTGACAAAATTTGGGGTGAGGCACTTGCCTTGGAGCCTTGAGATCACGACCAGTCGGTGGTCGCTGTAAGCATGCTCATGCAGCTGGTGTAGGCCAGCTCGGTCAGCAGCCGACCCTTCAGCGACCGAAGAGATATAGAGGAAACCCTGTGATATTTTGTGTGAAGCAATGGTTAGACAATGTTGGCTCAAGTCCAATGTGCTTGGTTTCGGTCTTTGGGTGAATGTTATTAGGTTTCATGGCTTAAGACTATTCTGAATATATGCAATGAGAGGTAATCAGAATTGATGTATGGGATTTGATTTGTGTATGACTGTGACGAGTTTTAGGCCGTATTTGAATGTCTAAGTAGCCATAACGCAATCTTACACTTTTACTACTTTTAGGGGCTAAAACTTTATATAAGTTTTCAACCTTATGTTGTATGGGTAAGGTGCACCTACAAAACCCACTAGTGAAGGTTGTTCCTATGCTGGAAAACCTTCAAATCGATCATCTCAACCTCGAGATTCATAGACATAAGAAAAAAAGGATTTTTAGTGCTAAAAATAGTTCATCTTCAAACACATTACTTGAATCATCTATTTTCAAGATTTTCAAGTATTTATAGAAATGCTTGATCGTCACCATTTTTTGAACGTAAATTTCATAATTGAGGGCAACAATAGAATTTCATACCATCGCAAGGCTTTGTGGCACCGAAACTGCCTTTTATGCATAGTTCTGAAGCACACCTTACTTCAATAGTATAGTATTAGCAAAATTTCATTATTGGGAGCATTATGCCACAAGTAGGTTGACTTGCCAAGTTAGTATACTGCTGTCACTAAAGCTATCCCAACTGTCCATTTAAATCGGATGGCTATATCAGTCACTTATATTTTATACATGAGTGTCACATAGAAAAATTTCCCTTTTCAAAAAGTATCTAAATCATGCTTAATTTCTAGTAACCAATGTGATCCTGGCTCTTCCCTCTTGTAGTGTAAGAATATTTAAAATGCTCCTGACTCTTACCTCTTCAGTGCACTTGATGTCGATCCCGTACCGGCTTTCTCCAGACTCTGGCTTCAATGTCACTGGAAGCTCTACAACTCCAGGCAAAAACCAGATCCTGATTCCTTGCATTAAGTCAAAGGTTACACTGTTATTTTGGTTACGTCCTGAAGCCATTTCCCAGCATGAAGACTGTCCACTTTCAGAGCCTGCTTGCTCGTTCCGCTGGCCAAATATATGAACAAATCATGGGAACAATAAAGTAAAGTAAATATGAGAAATTCAAATTATCAATTTTTATTTTTGTAATAATTACTGAGACTTAGAAGGAAAAGGGGGAGTATACTATGATCCACATTTTTGTGATAATTACTGAGAGTGAGAGAAAAAGGGGAGTATACTATGATCATATGACCACATGGTCATCACTGTTCAATCAATTGTTGAGTGGTGATACAGAGTGAGTTAAGCTTTCATCCAGGTTACTTCATGCTCTAAGAGGCTCCAGTTTTTCTCCCTTGCCAACCAACCGATAGATTCAATGGTGATGATTCCTATGATCACAAGTTTGTGTGGGCATATGGATCATAGAATATTTTCAAAAGGGAAAATTGAAAATCCATATATAAAAATAAAAAAATAGAAAAAAAAGAAAGAGGGTATTGGGCTTGGCAGGCTATCAAGTACACCCCATCTTGGCGGGAATATATAACTGATTTATTATTAAATTGTAATTGACTTAATCTTTGACTCATTCAATCATAGATTTATAATTAATTTTAGGAACAAGTTTATATAAGGTTGCAACCTTATACCGTTGAAGTAAGGTACACCTCAAAATCCCTACAATGGAGAGTGTTCCGGCGTAGAAAAACCCACCAGATGATCATCTAGACTTTGAGATGAATGGATATGAACAAAAAAAGAATTCCAAGTCAAAAAATTAATGTAACTTATAACAAGCTATCCGGACCATTTACTTCTAAGATTTTCAAGTATTTCTTGATCGGCTCAATCTATACCATTTTTAAAATTTAAAATTATATAATTGAGTATGAAAAGAGATTTTGAAACCATAATAAAGTTTTCGACACTGAAACAACATCTCTAAATAAATTTTATAACCACACCTTATTTCTACAATATAAGGAGGCAACCTTATACAAACCTCACCCTTAATTTTATACACACTTTTTATGCTGTTATCATTTTTTATATTTTCTGAATTTTCTGCATTTTATTTTTTTGAGAAAATGATATTTAAAATTTACTTTATTTTTCTACTTTTCTCATATTTTATGTATTTTAATGTTGTTTTATCTTTTTTCTTTCGCTTTCCTAATTTTATTGTTTTTCAAGATTCTCTCCATCTATTTGGGTTTTTTCAGCTCTTTGGTCATTGTGCACATACTCAAACCGATTCAAACTAAGTCCAATTACTCAGACTGATAAGGCCTAAGATCTGGGGCCAACCGACATTATTGGTATACATTAGATTTGTTTGGCTTCAGGTGAAGAGGTCAAAGCCTTTGGCATTAGGATCCAAACCAAATGGAAATCAAGCCCAGTCAACATTTTCATCAAAAAAAAAACTATTGCCAATATTTTGAAAAGAACAAGTTTATATAAGATTGCAATCTTAAACTATAGAAAAATACATACCCCAAAAATCTATTGCAAAAAGTTGTTTTGATGGTGAAAAAACCCTCTAATTGATCATCCTAACCTTGAGATGTACAAATATATGGAAAAAAGATAAAAAATAGCACATCTTGTAATACATTATCTAGACCGTCCACTCTCAAGATTTTCACATATTTGTAGATTTGCTCTATCTGTATTATGTTTTGAGTTTGAACTTTCATAATTAGATGTGAAATAGTTTTTAGGTTATCATTAAAATTTTCAACACAAAAATTATGTCTTTCAATGAGCTTTGGTAGTGCGTCTTAAATGGATTGTTTAAGGTTAACTGCTTAAACAAACCATACCCTTTTGAAAATGGCAAGATATTTCTATTTGGAGCTGGTTGAGTGTTACTAAAGAATGTTAAGGTATCTTCCAAGTAGATGTGTTGATACATATCCACATTCTTATCAATCTTAAAGTCATCAAAAGTAGGCTGGTGGGAAGATGGGTACCACCTCTTCAGAGCTCTTTTAAACCAAACTTTGATGCCAGTTCTGATGGTAATCCAAGAGAAGCGGGGATTGGGGGTTGTTGTGCTCTGATACAACTTATTGTACGCACGGAAGCAATAAATCCGATGCGTTAATATTTTGACAAGTAAAGTATGAAGAATAAAGCATGAAACACATACAACAAGAACACAAAAATTTACGTGGTTCACCCTAAAAGGGCTACATCCACAGGTACGGCAAACATAAATCCATTATACCAATGAAAGTTACACCAAAGATTTTGGAACAAACCTCAACAAAAACACAATCGAGCAAACCATTTTAAACCTGCTCTCCCAAATGGCACCATTGTCGATCTCTCATCTCTATTCCATAACTAAACCATTGTTTATCTCAATAAAAGGGAAACCACCCAAAATCTTAATGGGAACTGTTTCTCTACAATAAACAAGTCTTTCAATCTTCGGGAGTCCAAAAGAGGCACAATCACAATGTTTTTATCCAAAGCTCTTTTATCGTCCAAAGCTCTATTCTCTAGGAGAAAATCGCATCTTATACACAAGAGGCTATACTTTCCTCTCTCTCTAAATAAATCACCATTGCCAAATGATAACCCAAATTGAGTACACAAATGATCTGAACTTTCATCCCATATATATAAAATTAAGAATCTATACTAAATAGTAAACTTCCTATAGATACTACACACATCTCAAAAGACCGAGAGATAAATCCAAGAGTCCTAATCTTTTTGGATTTCTATTTCTTTTAGGAAACTTATCAATAACAATCACAATCTCACAAAATATGGGAATATCTCAATCCCACATAATATGGATCAAGCTTAATCAATCCCACAAAATATAGGATTTCTTTATGTGGGTGATTTTGGATAGCACTAAATCCAACAATCTCCGCCTTGATATCAAAATCATCTGCTCACCATACCAACATCCATTTGATAGCTTCATGGATTCTTCATCTTTTGCTAAATAAATTTCTTGGTGAAAAATTATATTTGCCATCAAATTTTTCCACCTAAAACTTTGCATTCGAAATCTTTATTGCCTTATCGAAAACCCCAAACCAGGGCTCTGATACTACTTGTTGTGCTCTGATACCACTTGTTGTGCGCGAGGAAGCAATAAACCCGATGGGCTAATATTTTGGCAAATAAAGTATGAAAAATAAAGCATAAAACACATACTACAAGAATACAAATATTTACATGGTTCATCCTAAAAAGGCTACATCCATGGGTAAGGCAAATAAAAATCTATTATACCAATGAAAATTACATCAAAGATTTTGGAACAAACCTCAACAAAAACACACTCGAGCAAACCATTTTAAACCTACTCTCCCCGAATGGCACCACTACCGATCTCTCATCTCTATTTCATAACTAGACCATTGTCAAAGAAGAGAACTTTGAGAGTAAATGATATTTTATCTCACGGAAAGGGAAACCAATGAAACTTTATCTCACTAAAAGGAAAACCACCCAAAATCTCAATGGAAATCGCTTCTCTACAAAAAACAAACATCTCAATATTCGGGAGTCCAAAAAAGGCACCATCACAATGTTTCTTTCCATATGAATCTCTTTTCTCTAGGAAGAAATCACATCTTATGCACATAAAGCTCTACATCCCTCTCTCTCGAGAGGAACTACCATTCTCATATAGTGACCCAAATTGGGCACACATTCTCTGCACTTTCAGTCCATATATATAAGATAAGAATCCATACTTAATAGGAAACTCCCTATAGATATCATATATATCTCAAAAGACCAAGGGATAAATCCAAAAGTCCTAATCTTTTTGGATTTTTATTTTCATTTGGGAAACTTATCCATATCAATCTCAATCCCACAAAATATGACAAAATCTCGATCCCACAGAATAGGAATATCTCAATCCCACATAGATCAATTCAGTCAATCCCACAAAATATGAGATTTTCTTATGGGAGTGATTTTGGATAGCACCAAATCCAACAGGGGTATAGTGAAAAATTCTTACGAGGAGGTTATTTTTAGCTTTTTTGGACCCTGAGTTATGCTACCGCTAATCACTCAAAAATGGTAGCTCTTTACAAGCACGCTTTTTAAATCCATAAATATAGGTGCTTCTTATGTGGTGGAGGGTGATTCAATGAACGTTATAAATTGGTGCACAAATCTGCAGCTTGTGCCATGGTCCTTCAAGCCGTTGTGGTGTGAGATTTTTGATTTGACTAGAGCATTAGTGGTTACATTCCAACATGTTTGTTTATAGGAAGGCCTACCCTTTTGGCTAATTCTCTAGCTAAGAGGGGGGGTGAACTTATCTATACTATTGGTTTCTGATGATGTAGATCAATTGTAATCGTCCTTTAGATAAATACAATTTATAACATTGGTCAAAAATATATATATAGAGGTTAATCCCCACCTTTAGTCGTTGGAATCCGAGGGCTGCTCCACCTATATGGTGTACAATTTCCTATCCACTGGACACCATTGGTATATAGTATACTTTTCGAGAGAAAAAACAACACCATCCACCATCCTTACCCTACTTTTATTTCTACAAAATCGGACCGGTTATTGTACCAGCGAGGAGTCTAGTCCAATAAAAATTGATTCGACCATAACTGAACAGGTTGGACGGGTCACTAGAAAAATATTAAAATAATAATCATAATCATAATAATTTAAAAATAAAAATATATTAGAAAAAAGTTTATCGACTTTGTTAACCCGGGATAGTCCTATAGTCAAATACTAATCTTGACCAATTTTCTATCAAGGCTTTTTTTTAGATAGGACTGGTTAAGACACCAGTAACGGTCTGACTAATCAGATCGAGCGGCTCGATCTGGTCTTGATAAAACAAAATAAGAAAAAAACAACACGTTTAGTGTACTCCCGCCGGTGCATACTATAAAGAGAAAATTACCTTCGAAATTTTCGGATCAGTTTGTATGTTGACAAAAACCAGAGGCACTCCTGAGGAGACGGCAGCTGAAAACCAGGCCATGGACCGGGAGGTGGTGGCTTCGGTTCCACGCTCACCAGGGAGTGGCATAAATAGTATGGAAGCCACGACCGTAGAGCGGTGGTCCGGCAAATATGATCCCATCTTCTTTCTCCAATCGTAATCCATTTCTCTTCTATGGAAGGTGCCGCTCCCTACATGCACCATCCTCCTGCTCATCTCTTCATTCCAATACATTCACACCAATGTTAGCCGACAATTATGTTATAATACATTCATTATTAATACAAGTAGGTCATAATTATTTTTAATGGTTAAATGCAAAATTCAATATATTGAAATGTGTCACAACACTTAAAAAATTTTATTTTGGACTTTGTACTCAATCAATAATGCATCCTCCACCTCCTAAATTCACATCATGGTCATTAATGATTGTAATCTTCTTGTATCAAAAATAAATAGTTTCATTATATACATTTACATAAAATAACACTAGCTGAAAAATAGAAGTACTATCCCTCCTATCCTAACAAAATTGCACAGCCATGTTTCATAATTTTGATTTAACAATGGGTCACGGCACATCCAACTCACCAAGTGATCAAAGAACACAAAAAAGATGAACTATTAAACATCCCATTTTGTTAATTTAATTTTGAAAAGAGCTTTCAAAGGACAGAGAATAATGAGTTAGCATACCATACATTTTAGAGCATGCGCATGTTGTTAGACACCCGCACATCTGCCCATTTAACCCAATATCTCTTTATCTCAATTTTATAATAGAATATACAGTATCGAATTATATTGGACGGTGCAAATTATAGGGCCAACGACAATTTTGGTGCATCAAAACTAGCACCAAAATAGGCCCTTTGATATATGAGCAAAATGTTCTTCAATCGGCATTTTAAGTGTGTTTTGATAAATTTTTCAATCCCTCGCAACCAAAAAACAAAATTTAAAAAAAAATATGCCTAACATGCCCCCACTCCTTGGTTAAAAGACCAACTTTTAAATGTTTTTGTAATCTAAAATTTTGGGATGACCATATAAATATTTTCATAATATTTTGAGCTTCTAAACACTGAGTTCTAACCATCTAAAATGGCGATAATATTTTTTTTAAGCGACATACCATAAAGCTTATTGAAAAGGAAGTTTAGGATTTTTATCATAGGGAGTAAACTTGAGATATGCTCAAGCATGAGCAAACAATACTTTGGCTGAAAAAGGACTGAAGAGAGACAAACTTTGCAGGTAAATTTTATACTGCAGCCAGAGTATAATGTCCATTACCCCTCAGTTCAAATCCTTTCTAAGAATAGCTTAGGAAAAAGTTTATATAGAGCTGAAGCTTTAAACAATCAAATTAGATCCCACCTCAAAAATATCACCAGAAGAGGTTATTTTGATCCCAAAGATCCTCAAATTGATCATCTCCACAGTAAATCATGTCAACTTGAAAAAAATGGATTTCAAGTTTTAGAAATAGTGAATCTTGTAACGTATTTTTGAACCGTCAATTTTGAAGATTTTCAAGTTTTCATCAAATTGCTAGATCTGTACTATTTTTTAAACTTTAAATTTTATAATTAAAAGATGAAAATATATTTAAGGCTCTTACAAAGATTTTCAATATTAAAACCTTATTTCTCGACACTATTTAAAGGAGGGTTTATTTTGATTATTTAGAGCCTCGGCTCTAAACAAACCGCACCCATAACTTTATGACACGTAACTTGTTCAATCCATAGACCAACCAATATAAAAAGAATTCCAAACTGCAATTTCCACGCACTTGAAACAAATAATGAATAGGGACTGTCCAATTTTTCAGGGGCGTGATCTAAGTGTCAGAAAACTTAAAAACACTTTTGATGGAATTGGAAACACTTAAAAAAATTAAATTTTGATGCCATTAAAAATATTTATCTAATGATCGGATCCATTAGATAAACAAGAAAAATCTATCAAGTGAGAAAATATATACAATCAATATGTATAGAGATAAGATGATTATCAAAAGCATAGTTTGAAAAAAAAACCCAAGTAGTAGGGGCATAGTTTAATATCGCGGGTTTAAAAACCGACCCTGTAGAAAGATGCACTGGTCCAGCGTGAGGTCCCCCAGCACGACCACGTGTCGAGTATCGGAGGCAGCTCGTATCGTGAACCGTCGATGCAGCTTGGCCGTCTTCTCCGGCACAACGCAGGCCTTCAGATTAACGGTGGCGTCTCCTCGCCTAACCCGAACTCTGATCTCCTCCACCTCGCGATTTAATCGCCCTAGGAGATAACTCAGTTCCGATTTATCTTTCCCCCTCGCGAGGATGAATTCCTCGGCTGAATCCTCGGCGACCCCTTCGATTATATCGCCCGGCAAGGGCATTCCCTCGTCCCACTCCTCCTCGGGCATTGACTCTTTGACCGCTTTTATGCCGACCACCGTCTCGGACCCACTCGTGCTGCAACTTGTCTTACTTGACCGCACGCCTAGACATGACGATCCTTCTCCCATTCTCTCTCTCTCTCTCTACAATGCTCTAGCTCTCTCTCTCTCTCTAAAAATTATTTGTCCTGGACTCTCAAAATTCTCTCTCTCTCAACACAACCTCCACACCTTTATAGAGCTACCACCACTCTCTCTCCAGATTAGATCTTTGGGTGCAGTTATTTAGGGTTGTTAAGAGTACGATGGTTACGAGGAGAGTCTCTATAAGTTAGATTAAACCTAGGTAATTCTTTGTTGTATACTTCGGAATTTTTTGCCGGATGCAGCTGTGTATGCATATTCTTAATTAATTTTTTAGCTTATTATACTTATGCTATAGTTTCAGGATTTGACGACGACGGCGACGATGATATTTATGTTCCCTTATATAGGGTATTTTTTTTTTTAAAGGTGCCTCTTTATATTGTAAAAATAAGTCGCATCTCTAAATTTTGCCTAGTTTTGGTATTGGAGACTTTATGATGGTACAAAAATCTATTGAAAATAGTCTGATAGGGCTGCAGCCCTACCAAACCATTTTCTTTTAAGCCTTTTTGTCCATGCCTTCTTCTCATCCTCCCCTCCTAAACCAGTAGCTTTCTTTTCTTTTCCCTCTGAATGTTAACTTGAAACCTACTTCATACATCATGGTGTGGCGGAACATTTCTACCTAGAGCCTGGCCTCAGAATTAGCTTTCTTCTCCTCCCGCTCGTCATGGATTCGGGAACTAAGCTACATTGAGCTCCCTGATGCTCTAACAATCGAAATATTTCATGAAACTGTCTTTTGAATTCCTTCACTAAATGCTGGTGTGAACCCAGGCAGCAACCCTTTCAGTGGCAGTGAGGCACTTCCTTTGGCAACATGCTAGGGGAAATCGTAGAATAACAAGGCCCAACAAACTTTCATCTCTTGAGCAAGTTTGCCATTCAAAATGAGTATAGCTCCCAGCTAAAAGATCAAATGCTTTTATCATTGGAAATAGCAAGCTTTTAATTGTAAAATTGAACTCTTTTTTAATCGTAAAATCAAATGCTTTGATCATTGGAAACTTTTATCACCGTAACTGTTTGTTTGTCTTAGACTACCCTGTGATTAAGTGTGATATCAAGCATTTAACTGTTGAATCCTACTTTTAATTTTTCTTTTCTCCATTTCAATATATGACATTATGAATTACTTTGAAATCAGGAGCATTAATGTTAGTTTTACTGAGAGTGGTTAAGAAAGAAACAGTTTCATCAAAGAGAAAGCCAACAGAAATTTCATTTTATGTAGTGATTCGGAGTTTGGACAACCTCTGCCATTAGTCGTATGTACTCAGAAAGTTCGAAAAGAATACCCAAAATGAAGGAACAGAAAAGAATGCACCAAAGGCAATTGCATCACGGCAGTGACAAAAAAAAAAAACAAAAGCTAACCATTTACAGAAGTTTAATTTATTTGAACAGGGCAACAAGAAACGCAATCAAAAGAGTGAACCAGTGGGAGACTGCAAAGAAATAAAAAAATTGGTACAATCAATGTACCGATTTTAACATACCTTTTTTCTTATAACAAATGGAGTGACATGCTTCTTTTGCTCGATGTTAATTTACATTTAATTAATGGCAGGTCAGGAGGAGATGACTAAAGAACCGGCATTGTTTTAGAAGATAAAATGGATCCTGGCTCCATATACCTCAAAAGAACACAGAATATATGTCCAGTTTGAGCTTGTGTTCTCCAAATCGGATCGCTACAGCTGATATCGAGGATACGATTGAAGCCTGCATGATAATTAGAAACAGTTCAAACTACGACAATGAAATTGTTCGAATAGATCTCTCCATCTTATGGAATAAGAAAGCAATAAGTTCACACATTGTCTGAGGGATTAAGAAAATGGAAAGGCACATCTGGTCAATAGGAGAGCATGCTAAAGAAAAGGACATAGGCCCATGGATATATATGTAATACGCACATGGATAACCATATTTCCTAGTACTCGTACTATTCTACCCATACAAAAGCATACACGATTTGTACAAGCCCTGTGAGGCATCTAAAAGAAAATGTGACCCATCATAAACAAGATCAATGGATAGTTCGGAACCAAATTGTGCAGGCCGACTCACTTCTAGAAAGTAGAACTCTTTCCACCTTGGTGCTGCTGAGAACTCTACAAAGTTCACTGTCCCAACTCTCACATCCTCCAATTAACCTCATTCTACACTAGAACAGTGGACACACCCGAAACAACAATGAGACTAAAAATATTACCTGTCACCTATGTACCAAGCTCCGCAAAAATCTTTCACAAGAACCATACATCTATGAAGCATCAGCTAATAAGTCATCGGCCATGTTTCCATGAATCAGCCAACACTAGCAAGTGCACCAAGATGCCCTTTATGTTGTTCCCAGAATTTGTGGGAGTGATAGGCATCATAATCAAAGGTACTTATCAGACTCGACAACCTTAATGCTATTATCGCTCATGAAGGAGAACAAGTGACCTATGCTCATCCTTTCGCATTTGTATGCAGAAAGCTAAGCATAACAGATGATACTTATCATGTTCATATTCATATGCAGAAAGCTAAGCATAACGGACAAGGATAATCCTTACCCTGATTATCACGTCCAGGGGGAAGCACAATGGTTTTCTTTATCCACCTCAATGAATCATAGTATCCAAAAGAGGGCAGATATACTGACTACTGAGAAAAAAATCTTTCTCATGCACGCAAAAACAGATAATTGAATGAGGCTGTCGCTCACTTGAATTAACTTTGAAGGCAGATTGCCCTACTTAAATCCCACGATGAATGCAATGACAATGGAAATACTCTTCAAGATTGCTACAAAAGCAGTTGCTGCTCCTCTCCTGCAAGGTTATGCCATGGTGTAATTCACAAAATATTGTTTGAGAGGATTTCTGAGTTCAGATTACCTGAGGTCCAGGGTAAGGATGCTACTCTCTAACTTCCTAGGAACTGCTTATAGGAGATGTCATGGAATTTCAGTGATATTTGCCTCCATACATGGGCTATATACCTTGGCTGAACTGGAAAAGACTTCGTTGAGCACTTTCATTTTAACACTGATGCTTGGCCCACTCTAGAAGATTTCAACACTTGAAACAAAGACAGAAGAGACCTTTACCGAATTTGAGACAAAGATTGAAGACTTTTGACGGCCGGGTAATCCCATCGTGGGCAATCAAGAGTCAGACCACATGACCAGAGACAATCACAACAATCCCTACCATGACTTACTATGCATTATCGCATGAACAGGGAGCTGAAAGTTTAAACGCAGTTTAGTGAAGGACAAAAGAAATTAAAAGGAAACTAGAGGTGGGGAAGTAACCTTATATAACCTTCTTCACAAGCTTCGGACCCAATTGTCTGCCTAGAAGCAGATCTTGCTGTCAGAAAGAAAGCAAACATTTTAGAGGAAAAGGACTTAATGTAAGTAATGAAAAATTAACTTGGTTCATATTGAACAGAACAAAACCAAGAAAGCTCATCCCCGCAAGAGGACAAAGTTTCTCCAAAGAAGCAAAAGAAACGTGGTAAGTTCCTCAAAGAACAATAAAAGTTTGCAATAAATAAAAGATGATGATTGTTCATTTTTCTCCATTGAACCAGCGTTTCACAATACTTGGAATTGTTGGCAAACCCCGACTACAACCTTTTGAAGAGGAGATACCAAATCTATGTAATGCATATTGTCAAATAAAAATCAGTAATGTTGAATTTTGTATTTCACTTTGTAATTTATGGCATCAATTGGTCAAATAAGGAAAACACAATTTGGATCCACTGAAGGAGGACCAATTTGGATCACATCCAAAGGGTACTATACTCCAAAAGTAAAACTAGTACTAACCCTAAACACGCAGAAGGACTTACATAGTGCAATATTCACAAGAATTAGAGAGCTGGGCATAGAAATTGAGGCAAATACAACACAGCCCTCTCAATTAGACAAGTGGAAAGATACATGCGTACCTGTATGACTCATAGCTTTAACTTTATGCTCTCAGACCACTTGAAGATATCAGAATGAACTTGATCTCCTCCAATGTCTTCTCCAGTAGCCCCTGCAGCCACCCTAATTATATCTTCAATCAAAGCAAAGTTTCCCATGATATCAACATGAGCACCACTTTGGGTCCCACGGCCCTCAAGGAGATTGGCAGGAGGGGCATGATCATACTCCCTTATGTAAGTTGAAATGCCTGCAGGATTGAACCTGGTTTTTCCACGCCAACCTCGAGCACACATAAATCCAGCACTCAAAACTGGCACCGTCTCATCTCCATTAACAGAATGTACACCACCTTTTAAACAGCTTCCAGTGTCACCACCTTCAGCTGAGGTATCAATACGGAAGGGAATGAAGCATGTATCAGCCAAGGGGGACAATTTGTAAACATAAGATCTTTCGGTGGGGATTCCCACGCCATACATCGAATATATCTCCATTTCAGGAGCATTGGGCAACCTACAAATGAAGTTTCCAAATTATAATAAGAAAACATGGAAGTAACCTGCATGCAGTGTTTCAAAAAGCGGACCACCCAGCACCTGGGCGCCCGCCTAGGCGGATATCCCTGGGCGCCCGCCTAAACCCGCCTAGGCAGCGGCCCAGGGGCAGAAATGCAGCTCCTTGAGGGTATTTTTGGGTCATTTTTTTAATACTAAAGGGATAAAATTGTGGGTTTTAGGTTCATTTGAAACCTAAAACCCATTAGAGGCTATTTTAGAGAGAGAAAACCTAAAAAAAAAAAAACATTACTGGGCCGCTCAGGTTCTGGGCACCCGCCTAGGTGCCGCCTAGCGTTATTTGAAACACTGCCTGCATGCTGACAAATCTCCAGTTTACTATTTTTCTTTATTGAGTATAATTATCTCTTTGTTTACAAGTCAAGAACAAGGTTATGGAATATATTTTACGTGAAAAAACCTCTGTTGCCATTCCTCAAAAATTCATATCCTATTAGAAATCACATAAACAAAGAAGATAAAATTGCTCACTTTGTTTCTAAAGGGTTGGACCAATATTTGTAGTTTTCGTATTTTGGATCATCCAAATTGTCTGCGATCCCATATGAAAAATGGGCATCACCACGTTGCATCATCTTTGGAGCCACAAAATGTAGCAAGTCTAAGAGAGATCCAGCTGTGTAAACTTTGTAATCAGCGACTGCTTTGACACTATCCCAAGTCATCTCTTGGTACTCAGTCCACACATCACCACAGGAAACATTTGAATGGCCAAGGTTGTTGTCTTTGACAGCTTCCTGCTTGTAAAATTATGACCCGGTGAAGTCCACAAATTATGAAATAAAATGGAAAAGGAGAATAAGAGTATATGATATGTAGTTTGTAAGAAGTTAAAATCAGAAATGAACACAATAACAGCTCAGCAAACACATGGGAATAAACAGTAGGGTCCTAAGCTATCTTCCCATTTAACTTTAGTCTCAATTGGAGAAAAACCATCACCTAGGGTGGTAGCTTTCGCTTGCTTTCAAGTTAAATGCAATCTGTTCCAAACTTCTTCACAAAGAAAATCAAAACAAATGCTAAATGTGCAATGTGTACTGGAAACCATCAACAAATGAACCAAGAAGATGGAGATATAGCAATGAAAGGAACTCCATAATGCATTTCAATTGTCAGAATTTAGGCTTCCTTGTTCTATGTAGGAATGGAAGAGCACCTAGAAGGTGCTGGATCATAGCAATAATAAGTATCTGGTTAAGAGCAGATTGAGTGGGTTCTATTGAGTTAATCGAATACAAATAAACTTAAATATAGCAAGAAAAGGCCGAGACACAAAAAATTCTTGTTTACCTACAAACTTTTTTGCTTTCCATCTCAAAAACCAGAACGGATATAGAAAAGATAAACAGTGATAATTTCATGAAACCATAGACAAATGTGCAAAGATAAAACAGTGATAATTTCATAAAACTATACTGAAGTAAGTCCAAAACTGATGAATTCCTAATTTTACCTTGAAATCCTTCCTCTCAATCTTCGAGGAATGTGCCTCTGCTATGTCTTTTCCAAATGAAATAATCCTTCCATAATGGACTCCATAGGATTTGTCATCCAGTGAATCTACATTAATTGTGCCCCCAGCTTGAGTTTCATTCCCTTTCTGCTTCTTATTAGAACAATCATAACCTTGTTCTGGAGCCCAGTCTATATCACCCCAAATAGTCTCACCGCCTTTGGGTATCATTGACATGGTTGAATCCCATGTGCGTGTCATACGCATGACATGTTGTAGGGTTTGAAGCCCAAATAGTTCAGAGTCCAATACGCCAGGTGCAATTGCTCTACATGATGTAAGATTCCGAAGAAGTGAGATTCAAAAAACATCAGATCATAATATTCTCCATATTCAGTGTTTTTTCTTGTTCATCATGAACTACAGCATGTTTCTTATGATCCAGTGAAAATATACATACTATCCATCACAAAAATTCTGTAACAGTAGTGCTTGACAATTGTTGGTCTACATGATGCACCAGAACACTAACAAAAAAATGTAAATGAAACTGACAGATGCTTTACTGGATAAGGTGCTCTTAACCATAATGTTAATATGCAAAAAAAACAAAAATCCTGCAGCACCCAAAGAATACCAAAAAACACTTTGTTGCCCAATTGTCTCTGACTGGCCAGCCATAACATACATAATCAATTATACAAAGCTTCTCCATAAAGCACTATATTAATACATTAGCATTGAGGTAATCATCACAAAAGTCACCCCTTAAGTAGTTCTTTCAAGGTCATGATTCAGGTGCACAACTAACTGAACCAAATTGTTGCAAATTACTATGATAAATACTAATTACAATCAACCATTTCTTGTTTGATAAAGTACCTGGCAACAGCGACATCCTTGGCTTCCGCGGAGAACAACCCAGTGACTGCTTTTGGAACACCAAGAAAAGGTGCTCCAATGTTCATTACAGCCTTTATGTGCTTGGCACACCAATCAGAACCACCTCCACCACCCATTGGAGCTGGTGCCTCTACCCACTTCATGAAGTGCAAAAAATAAAGTACCCCCATTGAGTGTGGAATAACAACCACCTTTTTGCCACCATTTGTTGATACCATAAGTTCAATATTACTTTTAATTCTGCTGAGGGTTTGATCACGCACCTGCTCAGTTCAGTAATTTCAGAAGTGAAGAAAATTCAGCTTTTTTTTTTCTTGATTGGCAATTAGGTAATTTCAGTTGCAGTACCACACCTATTACAGAGCAGACGACAAAGCAACTCACATAACATTATCTAGAAAACCTCAGCTGTTTGATATAAAACATGGAAATTTTATTCTGATATTCAGATCAACAAGCCAAAGTAAGCAACCCTTTCACAATAGAGGAATAAAGCACAAATTCTTACTTCAGTATTCTGAAAAGAAAGTCTCCAATCATATGCAGCCATATACATCGTTTTCTCCTCATACCCAATTCTTGCCAAATTTGCAATCAAAACTGCCCACACAAAATAGCCTGGAGCAAAGTAATCAGCCGCAACAAGTCCTGGAACAGGTCTGACTCTTATACCGGGAGGGTCCAATCCCGTTTCATTGTCCAGTGACATATGTTCAACCCAGCATAAAGGTCTGCGAAAATTTCAAGAATGCTGAGGAACAGCAGTGAAAATAATATCTGAGTAACATATCCACATAAATTTGAACTCAGGTAATATAAGTTTTTTGCAAGATAATCTCAAGACTGAACATGCTAATCATAAACATCTTATGTCCAAGTTTTACAAATCAAAATAAACAACACGGACAGTTTAAACCATCTTTGCTTATTGCATTCAAAAACCATAATCATCCAAAAAATTTGTAACCAACCAAACTAAAATGGCCCATCTATTCACAACCCATCCCCTCAAAAGAAAAAGAGAAAACAACCTGAGCATGATCGATTCATAAGACAAAACAATTGACCAAGATGACCATCAAAACATAGCTCAAAAGCCTAAACTACAGGGCCCGCGAGCGAGCTAAAGAAAATTCACATTTACATTAAACCAAATTTCTCTTAGCTACACATGCCCATAATTTTTCTTTTATAAAGGGAGAATACAAAGGTTGTGCACCACCTTTATTCCATTGCAAAAATGCCTGGGAAAGGGTGGTCAGGTAGACTTCATGCCTTTAATAACAATCAGGTGTTGCCCAAATCTCTGGAAAAATATTAAGATGGCTGGGCCATTATCATTCATCTGGTACATGTGGATGGAAACGAAAAACAGAGTCCCTTGAATCAAATCAAGACACACGGAGATGCTGTTTGACGTCATCAGCCTTTCTGTCCACTATCTGGTATTTGAAACGAAAGAAGCAAGAGGTCCACCCAAAGCAAGAGACAGGAAACAATGATCGACATTCATCAGCCTTTACATCCACTACCTCAGTCATCTGGAAAGGAGAAACAATAGTGGTTTTCAAAATGAATCAAGAGATGAGGAGACACCCAATCGTAATCGTCATAAGGGACCACCTCATTGGCAGGCTGTCTTAGCCATCAAATGAAACATGTGTAAACTGAAGTGTTAAAGATATCATAGGTGTTACCATCTCGCGTGATTAAAGAAAAACACAAATTTGTAGAGCATGGGTTGTGCCTCTGAGGGACACAATTAATAAAATTTCAGGGATGCTGTTAAAGGAAATATAGGACAAAACGCCACAAATGGGCAATCATGGAAGGAAACTCTCCTAACACAATTCAATGGCTTGAATATGGAACTCCAATTATTTAGATAGATAGAGATGGAGATGGAGATGGAGATGGAGATGGAGATGGAGATGGAGATGGAGATAGAGAGAGGCTCAAATAGCATGAGGAGACTGACTGGAATCTTTTCAGAAATAGAGGACATTTTATGAAAGGGTAGTGTGTCCATGAGGCCATTACCATATGCAAACAGCATGTGCCCCCAGCCCCTCCCTCAACATCTATCTTTTTGATGGTTTGAGGACCCAAAAACCATTCTAAACCCCTGCAAATCCATTTCCACCAAGAAAAATGGATCTAGAGCTCCTAAAAAACTGCATATCGGACAGATCTAAGGTACATTTAAATGGATGGTCCGCATCACTTGTTGAGGTTCCATTCAAGATGGAGCATTTTTAGGCTGCGAATCCCTTTGTTTTTACAGATCCATAATCTAGGTGGGCAAGTGAATGAATCCGCAGAGTTTTGGTCCTCAAACACCCCAAAATCAAAGAGAAATGAGGGAGCAACAGGCTGTAGCCCCCGCGAAATCAAGCACTCTTGCCTTCCTGTACCATGAGGCTCTCTGGGCACAATTCAGTGGGTCAAAGGAGAAGCTCCGGTACAATGGAAACTAACTGGGTTTTTTATCATCAAAAAAAAAAAAACTGGGTTTCACTTTTTCATGTACTTACTATGTAGAGTAGCTCTTTATGCACTGAGGGATACAAATGCTAAGGTGCTAACTAAGACAAATCTTTTTGTCTTTTTTTTGGGTGAAATCAGCGGGGATTGGGGCCCCTACCCATTTTTCATTACTACGATAAAAAGTACAAGCCTCAATCATGTTACAATCCTTTCGTAGGCAGTTCTTGCTACATCATATGAAAGAGGCAAAGATGAAGAATCCGGTGGGTGGGTCCTCCATACAGTGGCTTCTGAAAGCATTACAGCCCTCTTTGCTAGGCAGTCGGCAACTACATTGGCTACACGAAACACATGGGAAATCTTCCGTTGTTGACCACCAGTCTGAAGAGGCAATTAGCCGCGCAAGGGTGTGTAGTCTCCACAGGGATCTGTATCAGCAATACAGAGTTTCTAAAAGAACCTGAAAATGCTTTCGATTGGTGAGGGGAAGCAATTTGTTTCAATGGCAAGGTCAATCCCTATTTCCGGCGCTTTGAATTCTGCCGCATTGTTTGAAACAGAGCCAATTGGTGATGCAAATACAGCTATGAATTCCCCTTCCCGGTCTCTGAGGATACCTCCAAATCTGAGAAACCCTGGGTTTTAACTAAGACATATTTGGGCATGGGATTTTTAACCACGACAGAAGTTCCCTAATAGACCTTTCACATGTTCGCTTCTTTATCTCATTCTATTGCTTATTAAAAAAAGGAAAAAAATAGAAACACTTAGATAAACCAATCAAGCATTGAAATTTATCTTCCTGTGCTAAGAACCAATATCTTAATCAATACCAAACTTCATATTTCAAGCAAATCGATGCGAAGTTTCACCCTCCAAGTAGATTGATGCTAATTCTCATCTTTAAATCAAATTGATGCGATAAAATTAAGTAATTAACACCAATTGTAACACGTTATTCACATTTGAATCTTTCAATGAATTTATAACTGGTGAAAAATTTCACTTAGCCGAAAGAAATAAGAAAAACTGAATCTTATTGTTTGGCAATCAGAATAAACATAGAAATTGTAGCAATTAAGAAGAATAATTTTTTATCATCAACAATTAATAAAAGGAAATTGGCGCTAATTCCCAAACAAACCTTCTAACATGTTGCTTCATTACATGAATTCATTGCAAACCAAGAAAACAGAAATTACTTAGCTAAACCAGGGAAATAGAAATTGAAATTCATAGTTTCATACTCTAAAAAAACAATGAAACCAAAGCGAATTCTCCACTGAAATCAATGCTAATCTTACCTTTTATACACTTCTCCAAAGGTTCCACCCCATAAGCGCTTCCTGAAAAGACCATCAGCACAAGGGTGACCCTCCCAAAGCTCGAGCCCACCTGTAACAATCCCGGGTACAAAAACCACAGGGTGCTTAGCAGTGAGCCCCTCTTTCTGCAACTTCACACCAGGTGGATCAGGCAATGGCCCTGTAATGGCCTCTGTGACATACTGGGGAAAAGAAGCGGGCATCGCATTGAAGAGAAACAGAAGGAACCACCATATACAGCAAATGCACCCAATAAACCAGCAACAACCATCTATACAAGACCACCGCCCTTTACTGTGCTTCTTCTTCTCATCTTTAATGTCAGGCTTGGCATCAGGTTTCTTACTCGTGTCGCTCACAGAGGGCTTCTCTGGAACTGAAGCTTTCTCGCTTTCCAATGGCTTCCTGCGCCTTAAAAGAGACATGGATGAACAGTAAATGCAGAAGCAGTGGAGTAGCAGAGAGTTAAAGAAACCCTAGCCCTGACCCTGAAAGTCAAATTGGTGCTTTCTTTCTCCGGTTTTTAATGGAGATATGAAACCCTAGTTATGGGAGTGAAGATTGGAGAATGGTGGACGCGAAGGCGGAAGATTGTATGGATGGAAACGTAACAGAGAACCGAGGTTTACACGTACATTTCTGATATCCGCACCACTACTTTTCTATTCCCGCAAGAAATACAGATGTCAGAACCGATGTTTCGAAAACGTTAAATCTTAAGTCATTTATCGGCCGTTATGAACGCCCATACCCTCCCAGCTAGATATCCTTTATTATGGCTGGTAAATGGTTTGATAGGGCTGCTACAGTCCTATCATAAACCCTCACCTTATAACTTAAAATTTAAACATTAGAAAAACTTCTCATTGATTATCTCGACTGTTGTAAAAAAAATATTTGGATTTTAAATTCTAAAAAAAATGTATATTATAATAAATTATTTAGACCGTCCATTTCACCGTATTGATTATCTCGACTTGAACATTATGGTTGTGAAGAAAAATTAGGATTTTAAATTCTAAAAAAAATGTATATTATAATAAATTATTTAAACCGTCCATTTCACTGTAAAATAAGTATTCACATTTACACGGTGTCGGAAATTCATCCTTATGGTTTCCCCTGTTTTACATTCATGCATATATTTTCTCTCTTTTTGTTGTTTTTCATAATACTAACATTCGTACATTAAACATCTCAAGTAGTAAATAAATTCAACTTCAAATCTTGAAGGTTCGAAATCAAGAGACTTTGGATCTTAGGATCAAAAGCCAAGCCTTGAAAGTGGTCCAAGTCAAGATTTGAAGTTCACTTAGGAACTTAAAGACCTAAAGTCATAATAAAAAAATTCCTCGTGACTTTAATTTAAAGTTGTTACCGATTCACGCAAGGGCACTTGGGGCAACCCTTGCCGAATTGGGACCCAATTTCAAGCTTGAAATACTGAGGGCATGTCTCATTGGTCCTCCACATATCATGGAAGCTACCCTTCCATGGAAGAGGCAGATTTCATAAAACAATGTCAAGAGACATTGTTTAAAAAAAAAAAAATAAGTAAGTAAAGATTTGGGCCTCTACTCTTTGATGAGAATGAAATCAAATAATTCATCATAAAACCCGTTGGTACTACTGCCAAAGCACCAACCGAGCCTCGAAAAGAGGCGTTTGTTTCTAACCCATTGAAAGTTGCGAGTTTCAAATTGGCGCTTCCGACAAGGCGCAACAATTACAAGATTAAAATACGGTGGAACTCGAGTCTCCGGCTACAAAAGAAGTCCACCAAACAAACACGCCCTGATGGTGCTAGCTAAGAAGTCTTGACGTCCATTGTGCTCAATTTTAGCTGAATTTCAGTTCTGCCGTAATGATGGTGCACATCAAATATAATTTCATTTCTGTCGTTATTTGTGAGTATGATATATGGCGATAAACCTGTTTTATCTGATTTTCAAGAAAATTTACACGCTATTTCCATTCCTATAATTCCTTGAAAATGTTAAAAAATAAAAAAATACCATAAAAATTATGTCCGTTATAAAATCCGTTACATACGATATTTTCCAAATAACTCCACTTAACCGTTATTTTTAACAAAATTTTCAAATGTTAACCAAGTTTTCCAAATAATTCCACTTAAACCGTTATTTTTAACAAAATTTTCAAATTTTAACCAACTTTAAACTCGATGAGGCCATGAAACATAAGATTATACACAAGCAATCTTAACACTAGCCAACGTTTTTTAACAAACGTTTGGATTCGAAATTTTCAGCATATGAGCCGACTAGAGATGGTAATGAACCCAAGCCCGACCCAAATCCAATGGTTGGACTTAACACGAGTTCGGGTATGGGTCTAAAAGTTAAATATTAAACCCAAGTACAATTCAGGTCCTGTTATTTTTTTTGGTCCGGTTCCGAGTTTGGGTCAATTTGTTTTCGGGTTCGGGTCCCGGGTGCTTGTAGCAAAAACGTACCCGGGTCGTGTATTATTAACATGTGAAAAATCGTGTGAGTTGTCGTCTGCTATAAATAGGACAAACGAGTGAACAACAAAAAAGTACTCGTCACGTAGTGTAGCGACAACTGCCAAATTTATTTTTATTTATAGTTAGTTTCGAAAATGCCTCATGTTTGTTTGGAATTATTGGGATTGAGTCTCTTCGGGCCCGGCTTTCTATATTTCCGTTACAGCATAGATGATCCATACTTCCTCTAACATCCAACCGTTTAATTTTGATCTAAGAGAGTAACTCAGCATTTGATTTACGATAAGATATCTTAAAATATTTTTTTTTTAGTTTTTTTATACAAATTGTATAAATATGAAATTTGGTACGTGTCATCTTATCATTGGGGTACACTTATAAAAATATTAAAAATAATTTTTTGATAAAATAAAATGATCAAAATACCTTTGAAAGATTTTATGGCTATTTTGGTGATTTTATTTTATTAAAAATATTATTTTTATATTTTTCGCTAGTGCGAGTTTAATAGAGGATTAAACGTACAAAATTTGGTGTCAAAATAGTTTATAGAAAAAAATTAAAACTAAAATAGTTTAGAGTTATGGCATTGTGATTGGTGCAATCTTAGCCATCCATTCATAATGGACATTTTGATAAAGGGAAGTATATAAGTTTTATGTTGTAAAGGAAGCATAAAAAGCTTTCCCTTTTTTCATGTATGGATAACACTTTCCATTCCACATCATGTGGATGGTTGGAAACGATTCAAATTAAGGCTATATCAATGATCGAATTCTTTTTTTTTATTTAAATTATTAATTTTAATAAAATATTATTTGTAATAAAATCTAAGTAAAAATAGTAATAACATATTTTAAGTAAAAAATAACAAAAATACCTCTAAATATCTTTTTGTTTAATATTATTTTTTTGAGTAGTTTTTTTTTTTTTTTTTTTTTTTTTTTTGAGTCTAATGGTCGTTGGATGAGGCTAGGTTCAATATTAATTATTGATGCTTAAACATTCTTCAGGCGTCTAGTTGTGGAACCATCCCTTTAGAATAGTGAGAATAATGTTAAGTATTCATATACCATCCCTAATAAAAAAAAACTATCTTTTCGAATTGCCACAATAATGGTAAATATTCATATGTAAAATTGTTCTTTTATTTATCATCGATTTTTATGCATAAAGTAGTGTGACCGCTTGTCGTCTTCCTCAACTTGTTTTTCTAACTATTTAGAGTTTGTTACACGAATCCCGGTCTGCCATTTTGCACTATCAAATATCATACCCTCAATGAAACCATAAGTCCGGAACTCTAACTATCAAAGATCATACCCTCAATGAAACCATAAGTCCGTAGCTCAAAAATTTAAAATGCTTCTCTGTCAATGAAACCTCCCCAAGGTCCAAGACCACCAAAATACCCAACCAAATACTGAACCATCGACCTCGCTTGACACTCTCTCTAACTACTATCAAATATTGGACCAACACTCTCTCTCTCTAACCACCAACATTCCCAGTCAAATAGTATATAGGAGGTTACATGTGATGTCAGACCACCAAAATAGTCTATAGGAGGTTACATGTCGATGTAAGACCACCACAATAGTATATAGGAGATTACATGCGATGTAAGACCACCAAAATTCCCTGTCAAATGCTGAATCATAGACAACAACCGTGTTGAAACGGCCACTTTTTCTCTTTATCTATCTATGGTTCTGCTTCTGACGATGATTGGGCAAACCAGGTTCATGAACTTACAAAGCTCTCAATAGGCCAGGCGTGGGCAAGGCCAACCTTCCTTATAGGGCCAGTCCGAACGTGGCCCTGATTAAGCTGAAGAGGCCCTAGGCTAAGCCAGCTTGGCCCATCTAGGCCAGGCAGGGTCTAATATATATACTCTCCAAAGAAAAAAAAAAAAGCCCGTTAGCCTTGGCCCTAACCTGACATTGGTCCCTATCGGGCCCCTTCGAGCCTAGCCCAGATCAAGGCAAAGAGCCCTGGGCCCATCCATGCAAGGCCTCAATCTCAAACATCCAAAAAAAAAATAAAGAACAAAAAACAAAGAACGAAAGCGTCAAATGGCCGTGTCATTTTGTGGAGCAGGTCCTTATTTTCCAGGCCACCAGCCCTAACTTATAGCCTCATGGGAAGCAAATTTTACATCATTGAGATACGCACAAGCCCTAAAACATTAATCGAACTTAGAAAAGCAAGGGAGATTTATTCAGTTTTCAATTGCAACTCGGGCTTGCCAGGGGTATCCATAGGTTGGGTATCTAGCTTAGGGATCTAAAAAACGTTCAAAAAATCATAAAACAAAAAAGAAAAGAAACCTATGTAATGTTTTTTTTTTTCCTATCATTTTAACAAAAGATTAAAAATTGTTTTGGCCATGAATACTTATTTTAATATTTTCTCTTTTTTTTTGGATTATTTTTAAAATACACTCGATCATAAATTGATTTTTCAAAATTCATTTTTTCATTACTTTTTTAACCTCATTTATATATATTTTATTTAATTTTACTTTAAATATATATTTTTATATTTTTTGAGTTATTTTTGTGTTTTTTGCTTTTCTAACATTGCCAAAACTCATGTCAAGTTGCTCAGAGTTGGGCCAAGTACTCAACCGGAGTCACTTATTCCAAGACAGGATTTATTATTTGTAAACGTATAGCATGTGGATGCTCAATGGTTCATTTTCTCTCAAGGGAAGAAAATGAAAGAGAGATAATCGATCTTTATATTTTTTGGTGTTTTAAATTTTATAATTAAGGATAACAATAGATTTTCATGCTATTAAGAGACTTTTGGGCACCAAAATTGCATCTTTCGGCATAGTTTAGATGTGTGCCTCACTTTAATTGTTTGGATTGTACACTATAAAACTATTTGTATTTGGTTCAGGAATGTCAAATATTAGATAAGAATCAAATGGCTTTGGTTGTGCACAAAAAATTAAAATAATTATTTTTTTAATTTTGAGAAAATCAAAGCTACATCTTCAACCACTCCATTTTACATTCAATAGCTAAATATGATTGTAACCTCCTTGTACTAAAAACACACAATCTTATTATATATATTCCCTTGGTTGTTTGAGATCGATGCATTGTATAAACCTCACCATTTACCTTTTTATTCCCATAGGTATCCTTGCAGGGTAGTTTTG